TTTACCATAAAAAAATATAGAAACTACCAAATTATACAGCGATTTTATACTGGATATATTATGGTCCTTTMACGTAGAACCTGGGCCTTCGTGACACGCACCCTCTACCCACTTGAATGGGCTTGCAAATAACCGAAGGTAAGTTTGAAATATTTTTTATTCAAAACTAGTTTGCAATAATCAAAAATAATTAATTGTTTCGGTTCAAAAGTTTAGATTAATAAAAAAATATAGTGATCCCCTCCGCAACCATTCTACGTTATTTTGAGTTATTGAATATAATGAATATATAGTATTAACATTTTAAGAGGTTTTCGCTGAGTTTTGTAGTTTTTGTTTGATTTAGTAAAAATATATACATATATGCATGATACATTATGTAATGCATCATTATATAAAAAAAAAATAGTTACAAATATTATTTAATTTTAAAACATCAGAATGCAAATTGGGTGTTCACAAATACAACTATACTGAAGTACCAATGGCTAGAAAAATAGCTTTTACAACTATCAAAGACAATAAAAATTTAAAAATATATTGTATTATAATTTTGCTATGACTAATTTTGATAAATTTGAAACACAATAATATTGTCCTACGTTTTTACTAGAAATGTAGTAAATCAAATTTAATGTACAATGTTCGCCTATGCCCTATATATTTCAAGACAAGTAAAGAGTAAAATTAAAATATGTGGAATTTTTTTATTAATAGATAAATTATTTATTGTCAAGAACAAATATTTTTCAACTTTTCAATTATTGCTTATATTTAATGWTTTTTTTATGTTTCTTTTTGAAAATTTGAAATTAGTAAATTGTATGCGTTTACCTCGAATATAATTTTTACTCGAATCCATTTATAAATTTTCAACATATAAAGACCACTGAATCTTTGAAACACGCGTCCACGGTTACTTATTGACATCTAAAAATGGTGTGATGAAAAGATTAATCAATCCGATAACAAACTTGTTTTGAATTTTGTTTATTACGTGATAATTAACTTAATATTTATAAAAACGAATAAAAAATATTGATAATCACTTATGGTTTTTATTATTATTATGATTAGTTTTTTTAAAAATATTATTTAATACGTGTTTATAATAACTGCAGTATTTGATTGACTATAATGACTAATGAGTGATAAATGTTTTTATATTATTGATTGAATATTTTTAAAAATTTATTTGTATTATGAAAATGTGTCGATAGGTCATTGATATTAGATATACGCCATATTACCATARCAGGAATAAWAACATACTGTTATATATATTTTGTTTAACTATATTTTCACGCTTATAATTATAATATAATAAATATAATACTATATTGTAATCAATTTTAATATTATCTGTGCCAGCTTATAAATTTAATTTTATATTTAATGTAAGTATTTTGTTTATAAATATACTTGAATTTTATTTATGGCACTTAATTTTATAAATAAGTACACATTTATGTATTTTATTTTCACCCAATATAAAATTAATTGTTGATAAAGAAAATAATAAAATACAACTAGTTAAACTGATTTTAACAACAAATCATTAAAATAAAATGTATCGAACTAATGGTACATTTTGAAAATGATAAATAACGGGACCTTTGATTAGAGATAATTAAAATACAACTATGGAAAAAATKCTGGTACATGATGATTTATTTGTAATATGTCATAATATGAGAACAATTTTTTACATGGAATTCATCATCATCTGTGCAGTWAAATATTTAGTTAATGACTGCTTTAAAGTACCTATTTAATGCCGGAGAACTAAAAATGCGTGCAAAATGATACGTCTTATTTGATAAGAAGTAATTATTATCTTTTGAGGAAACGAAGTTTTGAACCTGAATCTTGTTATGAATTATGTAATCCAGGGAAGAGTATAGCCGTATAATTTTGCAACATCGGAGTACCGACCTTGCATTTAAGTGGTATGTTTCAAATAAAATGACATGCACCTATGTACCTATGTTATTTATTGACGGTGCCTACCTATTAGGTAGTACATTATGTTAATCAACATTAGATATTCTTATTTGTTTCTTACCAAATTCGCTTAAATAGGATAACAAAGGCCAACCAATACAAGAAATGATAAGGAGCAGGAAATACGGCAAAGGTGAGGAGGAATTGTTTTTATTATCTGCAATTCTGATAGCAAAGTGTCCAGGGTTCAATTACAAACATTAGCTAGATTCAAAACGCAAGAGTAGGCAAATCAGTTACGTATCGACTATCAAACTACCACTTAGGCCACTTCAACGTCTCGCTCAGGTTAGTTCGCATAAATATTAAATAATATACTTAATATAGTGTGTATTGTTAGTTTAGATTCTTCTATTTTAGTAAAAATCATAAATCATCATAATCATTCAACTGTTTTTATTTCGATTGTTGAAGCATAGCAGGTAATTTTTAAGTTTATGACATAAGATATTTTACACATTTAATGAAATCATTTGGCTTTGAGTGCTRAAAGAAAACTTTATTGGGACCACCRGATTTATTGACGAGACAAAATTGTTTTTAACTTCTATTAGGTCTAACTGCTGTAATTAAATTTAATATCGAACTTTAATATTTAGTATTTTCGTATTTAGTACAGCATCTATGGACTCTATTGAACGAGTTGATCATTACTAAAATATCAACATTTATGTATTTTTCGATTTGAAACTAACTAAGTTACATAATACCTATTTTACTTTTCATTCAACTGTTAGACACCTAATATAATTTACAATAATAATTTAAATTTGATAATTTAAAACGGTATTGAATCTAATCATGGTTGTAAAAAATCAAAAATTAACTATTGAAAATTGGTGATGTTGTAGAATCATATTAATAAAAGTCAATAAAACCGGCAACAAAACCCATTGTTTATTAATCAATATTATGATGCTAATACGTTTTTTTTAGTAACATTAATATTTTTGACAGTTGAAATTTAAACATTCAGATCTGTGATAAATTATATTAAGAATGTACCTATCATTATATTATATAATTTTGTTTTGAATCAACAATACACAACAGCTTAAGAATTTGCATATAACCATTTAGTATAGATTTTTGGGAATTTATTTTATCTATGTGTATACGTATATATCGATTTAGATGGTTTCAATAATTTTAAACGTAATATGAAAACTCGCAATTTTAATTGAAAATTATAAATTTATTACAAGCTCAACAATTCGTACGTACCTMAATAAATTTAGTAGGTGATAGATATCATTTTGCTGTAATGCAATACTGAATTCTAACTGTAAATGAGTAATGATTTTATGATTTCTAATTAAAGTCAATTAAACGTTTTATATTTTGCATAAAAATATATGTTAATTGTGATTAGTTATCTCCGAGCTTACAAAATATGATTTGTATTGTAACAAGTGTAGGTAAGTGTATTAATTCAGTAGGTACTCCAACGAAACTGTAATATGTTTACGAGTGTACAATGTACATAGTAATATAATTTATCTTAAACAAACTGCAACATAACAGATTCATATAGCCATAATTGTATTGTCTAATTAAATATTTTATAAAGTATTGATTTTGAATTTAAAGTATAACTGATCTCTACAAAATATTAAGTGAGTTTATTTGATAACTAAATAATTTTAATTATGTTTTAAATTTTTTTTAAATGTATATTTAATTTTATTTTAAATTATTAAATAGTAAAAGTTTTTTTTAGGAAATCAATCATTAATTAGGCATCTAAAAATAAATTTAAATATACAATTGACTGATGATGTTTTGAAAATATTTGTTTTGGTATCGAATGTGGTTTTCGGAAAATATTTTGTATACAATTTACGAGAACATGTCTGTATTTAATAAAAATAAAAATATGTTTAATGTAAATTGGTCTTACATAAATTAGAATCGTACTTTTTACACTTAGACTTTATCTCATTTTCATGATTTTTCAAAAGGTTCAATGTAATATCAATTAGGTACTTATTTTGATAACTTATATAGTTACTTTATTTTTGTGTGCGATTGTCGATTTTTTAAAAAAAATATAAATAAATCATTTAAAATTTGCTGGAAAATTATTTTTATTATAAAATATAATATTTTTTAATAAAATTATTTATGGAATAATTTTCAGGAAATAATTATAGTTGCATTTATTCTGACGTGTATAAATACAATACAATTACGTGCCGATGTGAACAATCTATCAAGTATATCTGCGAAGGAATTGCGTTGTTATAATCTATGTTTTGGAAATCCAAGCACAACATTATGTTATTCATTTTTCCAACGATTTTACAGGGACAGTTCCTTCCAGGAAACTTAAATACATTTTGCTGGCCTATAAAAAAGATTAAAAAATTAAATAACCCTTCTTTAGTATAGGGTTTCACCAGTATTTATTTTCGAGAGTATAACACATATTTAATTATATTAATTGATATGGTCTTGATTTGTTGCGAAACTTTATTATTATAGCAAACAAATCGATATGATTTCACGATTGACCTTATACTATTATTAGGTACCTACGATATTTGAATCGATAAATGATAAATGATAAATGATAAAGGTTATAAATTTATTTATTTCATTTTAATATTATACTTATATAAATAAGATGACGGTTATTGTTAATATTATTAAA